ACTGACGAAGCCTCTTGGATGAGGGGCGAAACGTTTCTTTTTAACAAAAAAACGAAGTCCAGATGACATGAGTCAACCTTTTTTGTTGTTATATACCTGGATGACTGAGAAAACTAACTTTGTGTAACTTAAAGGGAAGTTTTGTGGAAAGTAATGGACAATATCTTACATGCTGTAGATAACTCTTTGAATGACCTCAGTTTAGAGTAAAAAGGTGTAATAGTGTGGATGTTTATAAATCATTCTCACTATTGACATCTGTTTCTCTTCTGTATGTTTTTCAACATGCAACCTCTTCTGTAATTGTTGTGCTATTTCAATAGTTCATATATCAAAATGTTAAGCTCATCCAGGACAATCCGGATGTGATGTTTGGTATTGGTGCAATTTTTACTTTTTGAAATATTTAGCTTTTTTGACAACGTTTGTTTAATTGAAAATGAATAGAGCGCTCTCCAAATCTTTCAAGCCCTTTGAGCAGTTTACAACCTTTTACTGCTCATTTCAGCTTTTCTCCTACTTCAGATTTTTTTAGCTTCTTTGCTCTAATTTCAGATTCCTTCAGCTTCTGCTAATTTCAGCTTTCTATACTTCTTTCAGATCTTTTTACTTAATTCAGCTTTTTTTTCCTGCTTTTTCAGCTACTTTTTAGGTATTTTTCTGGTTAATTTGAGCCTTTTTTGCTATCCTTTTTGCTAATTAATGCTTTTTGTGATTTGAAAAATTTAAACATTTCATGTCTTTTAAGACTCTTTCTGCTCTTCCAGCTTCATTTTTTTTTTTTTTTTTTAGCTTTTCAGCTAATTTAAACTTTTTTCTGCTCATTTCAATTTTTTTTGTTGTTGTTGCTAATTTCAGAATTTGGGTAACATATTCAGCCTGTTTCAGCTTTTTCTGCTACATTTCTGCTCTATTCAGCTTTTTCTATGCATTTCTGCCGTTTTTCTGCTGCTTTCAGCTTTTATTTTCCTGCTTTCAGCTTTTATTTTCCTGCTTTCAGCTTTTATTTTCCTGCTTTCAGCAAATGTGAGCTGTTCAAATCCAGCACATTAACATTAGAGACACATTAGAGATTAAACATTTTCAGCTTCTTCAGCAGCTTTCAACAAAACTCATTCAGCAATAAGCGTTGACACTGCATTTCAACAGGAAATGACATTTCTCTAGTTTTAATTGAATCGACCAGCTAGCATCTGTAGAGCCAGGATTAAAGTAGATCGACGTGGTCTTAAAACATCTACAGTCTTCAGACTTTTATAGAAACTTACAAATGCTGTTTGATCATTTATATTGCAGTCAGTTCTGCATTAAATCATAATAATGCTGTGATATTCCTGTCTGAATTTTCTAGAAGTGCTGCAACAGCTCCTGTTATTTGCATTTGTAAATAACCAGAGCATTTTAAAGTAAATAACTGTATAATGTTCAATTAGCAGCCTCATAAAGATTTATAAAAAGTGTTAGAATAAATTGCAGTGAAATTTTCAAGACAGCAGCAATCCACTTTGCTCCAGGTCCCACTCAGATGAACACTTAGTTCATAAAACCTGTCAGAAATAAACTCTTTCTCTTCAAACAGAGGTCGTTCAAAAGGCTACCTGCAGCAGGTAGGATCTTAATTGTTCATAACTTTCTACATAACCCCACTTTATCCTTTTAGTCCATTTTCTGTTTTTTTTTTTTTTTTGTCCTCCTTGCTAACATAGTCATGAAGTTAGATTAAATGTTGTTATTGGTCAAATAATGTTAACTTTATGATGAATGTCAGGTGGAAAAAACATCTGACTGCTGTCACACGTTCTCATCATGAGTCAAGCTGACTTATTATTTTGACCAAAAATAAAATACAAAACTGACAGCAAAAGTTTTACCTACATTTTTATTTTCATAACAAACTATTCACCTAATAGTTTGAGATTAATTTTTACTTTGACCAAATTTATAAAATATTAAACATCAATGTTGTATAATCTACAGCCCCAAGTTTAAGTTGTGATGTTGTGTATAAAAATAAAACATAATGCAATGATTAGCAAATCTCAAACTCCATCCACCCATTATCTTTACCCACTTCTTCCTTTTCAAGTGGCGGGGGTCACTAGTGCCCATACCCAACAGTCACTGTGTGAGAGGCGGGGGACACCCTGGACAGGTCTCCAGTCCATCACAGAGACACATAGAGACAAACAAGACAAACAACCATTCACTCTCTCACTCACACCTAGAGACAATTTAGAGTTACCAATCAGCCTAACATGCATGTTTTTGGTCTGTGGGAGGAAACTGGAGTACCTGGAGAAAAACCACACGTGCACGGAGAGAACATGCAAACTCCACCCAGAAAGACCCCTGGACTGGGATTTGAACCGGGGCAGAGTAGAAATATTTGCCTCTGATATACAGTCTCACATCTGAAAAAGTTGGTACGTTGTGACAAATGTAAATACAAACAGAATTTGGTTTGCAAATCTCACACTCACATGGAATACATTAAACAAGCCAAATGTTTAAACAAGAAGTTGAGCTTTTTAAAAAAAAAAAAAAAAAAAGGTTGTTTTGAATTTGATGACTGCAATATATCGCTATTTCAGGTCTCTCTTGTAAATGAGTCCCCGAGGCTCAATGGGATCAACCTGTCTAAATAAAGGTTGAATGAATGACTCTCAAAAACAGTTCAAACAAAGGCAACAAAAGGCTGAAAAATGTGGTACAAAGAAGAAACAGCTGGAGGAGCTTTGAGCAACTTATTAGCATAGTTGGCAACAGGTCCGTCAGAAGTCTGGGTCAAAAAAGAGCATTTTAAAGAGGGAGAATGTGTCAGAAGTAAAGATGGGCAGAGGTTCATCAGTCTGTGAAAAATTGTTTAAAAATAGTGGAACAATTAAAAGAAGGAAAAAAACCTCAACTGAAACTTGGGAAGACAGAATATCTCATAATTTACAATTCATTATATCTAAAGGTTTCAGACGTCTGGAGAAATCGCAAAGGCATCGTTGGTATATCTGGAGTCCAGGTTCTGAACTGACCTGCCTGCAGTCCAGACCTGTCACCCATTGGAAACATGTGACACATAATGAAATGAAAAACCTGACAAAGAGCTGGCCTGTTGAACAGCTAGAATCCTACACCAGACAATAACTGGTCTACGTTCTCCTCCAGCAGCTGGTCTCAGTTCTTGACTGCCATAAAATTCAAAATAATCATGTTATCCTAAAAATGGAACAGCTTGGGCTGTTGTGGTGCAGTGGTAGGGCAGCTGATTCGGGACCAGAGAGTCGCAGGTTAAATTCTCCGCCATGCCCATTTGTTGTGATGTCCTAGAGCAAGACACCTACTCCCTACCTGCGCTTACACAGCTGCCCCCTGGTCCACTTGGGAGAATCTCATGCGTTCCCTTACAACGGTGACAAAACATACTGTAGCACTTTCAACTTCTTGTTTTAAACATTTAATATGTTTACTGTCGTTTAAAAATTCTGAGAGTTTGAGATTGGGTGGCACGGTGGAGCAGTTGGTAGAGCTGCCGCCTCTCACCAAGACAGAAACTGTCCGTAGGTGAGAGAGTGAATGGTTGCTTGTCTCTATGTGTTCCTGTGATGGACTGGAGACCTGTCCAGGGTGTCCCCCGCCTCTCGCACAGACAGCTGGATATGGGCACCAGTGACCCCCGCAACCCAAAAATGAAGAAGCGTGTAAAGGTAAAAAAAAAAGAAAGAAAGTTTGTTTCTCACCTTTGGGTATGGCAGGAAGTAGTCGTCTCCGGACAAATCGAGCTCCACTGCTCTCACTGTAACCGTTGTCATTGCAGCCGCTCATCACACTTCCATTACCATTAGTGCTGATAAAGCTGCCGTTTTCAATGTAGCCCATTTCGTTGTAGTCATTCCTGTTGTACGCGTCTGCCTCGGAGGGAGCGGGACTCACAGCCACACTCCCTCCATTCATGTTGTTTTCACCGTAACTGTTCAGAACAAAACCATTAGCATCACGAGGATCGTAGGGCATTTCTCCTATGCTGCTGGCTCTGTCCAGACTCTGGCCAATGTATCCTGTCTCAGTTGGTACAGGAGACACAGCATCTGGAACAGGATACACAACATCTGGAACAGGAGACACAGCATCTGGAACAGGATACACATCTGGAACAGGAGACACAGCCTCTGGATACAGAAACCTGCAAGATGGAAGAGACTTTTTTTTTTCAAAATGTTACTGAAGCACACACTTATTACATCTCTGCCTTGAATAATGTCCTCGTTCTTCACCTGTCTGATCCTAGGTTTGCAACATCTCCATCACTGCTATAAAACTGCTCAGCTGCTCCACTTGGAGCCGAAACTATTCCTCCATCAGCTACAACTTCTCCTCCGCCTGATAACTCTGGGAGAGGAGGGGGAGGAGGCGATTCACTGATGGACTCCACTCTGTTTTGTTGGAAATAATAGAGATGGGACAAGTCAAGCACCAACTCATTATGATGTTCATATGATGTGTTTGGGTGCAGCACAGTACCTGAGGATGGGGGGCTCAGACCTCACAGGCTGCTCTGTAACAATGCTGACACCCGCCAGCTCTGATCCTGGTCTCTGGTGCTCCCGCAAGCCCTCCACCTGTTTGGTGATCACATCCCCGTTGGTGAACCTGGACCCAGGTTCAATGATCACCGCCGTCTGCTCCACCAGCACGTCCAGAGGGGGCATCGGAGTGGCGGCGGGCGTGGTGCTCACCGAACGCTCACTATCGAAAATCTCATCAGCCATCATCTCTCCCTCTGCGGCCTCCTCCTCCTCCAGGTCACAGGCCATCGCCAGGCGCATCTCTGGAGCCAGGTCCTGCAGAGTCCGCAGCCCTAGCTGAAGAGACACACATTGACCTCAACACATTCACACACAAATGCACATTGCTGATGTAGATCCTCAGTCATCCAGGACAGGGTGGTCATAAAAGGCAGACAAGAAGGTGAATGCACTGCTTTAGTGGTTCTGAAAGATATTTTGCTATAGATATAGATATTTTCATCTGAGAGGCTTCACTTACTGAAACTTTACTGACAGCTAAAATGCAAAACACACATCTCAGGTGTTCTTCTTATTTGTTTGTTATTCTGGTCTCATGTAGATATTTGTAAACCTATTTCATTAGCATATAATATTGTACTTTATCACTGCATTATAAGTATCTACAACTAATATTATATCCTAAAATAATTAGGTTTACAAATGCTTATTGTGCTTCTGAAATGTTTAATATAACAACTCTAGATAAAATACATAGGCGGACATATTTGACTCACTATTTGGCAAGAAACTGGTCAGTTTTGTCTCTGTCACCCTTAATTAATGCTTAATAAGCATTTATTAATGCTTTATAACGTGTTTATAGATGAATTAATAACGTATCTATAAACTATTTATTAGCCATCTATAAGGGGAGCCTTATTGTAAAGTGGTACAACTTTTTCTTTAATATAAATTCTTACACAGCTGCAACATCATAAACAAAATCACCTGAATGCAATCTGGAACTGAACATTTGTGGTTAGATCAAATCCATCTTATTACTGAGAGAAAAAACTGTTACGAAGTTTTAACAATAGTAGACACTTGTGTAGTTGTTTAGTGTGTGGCTTTGTGTCCAACACCTCCAGACATTTCATTCTGAACCATAACTCTGGACTCACCTGCAGAGCGGCTGCTCTGTCCTTCTTCTTGGACTTTCTCTCTCGCTCTTTTCTTTTGCGGAACTTTTTGAAGTAATCCTGAATCAAGAAGCTGGCATAAAACTTTCCACACGTCACCTCATCCCCTGAGGAAGAATGGGAATTGTTTTAGATAATGACATATTTTGATGAAATTACATTTTAGGAAAGTATTTTTTCTTTATTATTTTCAGGCACAGTGTTTTAAAACTCTACATCAGGGCTATTCAACTGGCGGCCCGCGGGTGACTTCAGTCCGGCTCACCAATGAGTTCATAAACAAACAAACAAAAAAAAGATTTAGTTTTTTGGGTTCTGGGTTTGAGTTTGGGTTCTGTTTATTGCATTTATGATTCAATGCAATAAAACAAGCAAATTTAAAAGGTAACAGATCATTGTAATACTTGGTTAATTTACGTAATGCCTTTAATTGCTGGATGTCCGGCCCCTGGGCTGCTGCTTTCAGAAACTGTGGCAGTTTTGTTGAATAGCCCTGATCTATGTAATAAATGTGTGAATGTTCATAAATCAGTGGGATGGATTGGAGACCTGTCCAGGATGTACCCCACCTCTCGCACAGTGACTGCTGGACATGGGCACCAGTGAAAACCCACCCCCCACCCCATGACCCGAAAAGGAAAAAGCGTGTCTATAATCTATTCAGCCTATTCCAGTTTATTTTGTTCATTTCTGCTACATTTCTGCCTTTTATTCTGCAGCTGACCTGCAGTCAGCTCTTCGAATTCAACTCACGTTAACAGTTCAGCGATTAAACCTTTTCAAGCTGGTTTCAGATTCCTCACCAGCGTTCAGAAAAAATCTTTCAATAAGTAACGTCGCATTTTCGCAGGAAATGTAAATAAATTTTTTACCTCTAGGCGGCGGGATAATCTCATCAATGAGTTTAGGTTTGGTGTGCTTCCAAAGCTTCTTAATTATAATCTTCAGCTCCTCGTTCTGCTGATCAACAGGGCCTGAGCGGGTCACAACCACATCAGTACATAAGAAACGTCACTGAGTTTCATGAGAGTGAGCTTCTTTTCACTCGTGTGTGGCAGTTCTGACCTTCAGTCTTAATCTTCAGCGAGGTTCGAACGAGAGCGAATAGAGTGGCGTTGAAGCTGACTGTCCCGTCAGGGTGCAGGGGGACGTTCATGGCCACCAGCCTCTGAGAAGATGAAACATGTCAGAAAATCTGTTTATTCCTGCCATGAAAGGACTGAGTGTGTGCTCACTCACTCTGCAGGCAACACGATGAGGACACAGCTTCCCAAATCCAAGAGGCGGCTGAATCCTGCGCAACATGGTGACTATGTCGATGTGCTTAATGCGACCGCTGCAGGAAACAAACGAGAGGCAGAGAAGTTTTGGAAACAACAGAATAAAAATTTATAAATGTATAAAAAAGACAATGAGATGAATCTTACGTGGCTTCTGGGTCATAGTCAGACCAAACCCTCTTAAACTCGTCCAGGTGGTGAGTGCCGAGCACAGTCCAGTCTCGTGTGAGATATTCAAAGTTGTCCATGATGACAGCGATGAACAGATTGATGATCTGAGAGAAGAACAAAAGGAAATAAATCTTACTTTCATTGGTGATCATTTATTTTAACTACACACAGAATCACTCAAACGTGACTATTTTCTGAAAGACAACAGTGTACAGTTGTGTACATGGTTGGAAAAGAATCCACATTTTAAAAAGTGGTAAACTCCAGCATCCATCAACTTTCTTTAATCCATCCATCCATTATCGTTACCCGCTTATTCCATTTCGGGTCACGGGGGTCGCTGGTGCCCATGTCCAGCAATCACTGTGCGAGGGGCGGGGTACACCCTGGATGGGTCGCAAGTCCATCACAGGGCCACATAGAGACAAACGATACAAACAACCATTCACTCTCCCACTCACACCTAGGGACAATTTAGAGTTACCAATCAGCCTAACATGCATGTTTTTGGTCTGTGGGAGGAAACCGGAGCACCCGGAGAAAACCCACGCATGCACGGAGAGAACATGCAAACTCCACCCAGAAAGGCCCCTGGACCAGGATTTGAACCAAGGACCTGCTCGCTGAGAGGCAGCAGCTCTACCAGTTGCGCCACCGTGCTGCCCAACTTTCTTTAATAAAGCGTAAAAAATAATTTTGGACTTTTTTTTGTTGTAAATATCTAAATCGCCAAAATGATGACGTTTTGATGTAATGCCAGCGGCTCATAAGTGTCATCATGGTAACCACACATCTGTGTCTGTTACTCCCTGACAGCACTCTTAATAAAACCGTCAGACAGAAACAGACAAGAAGGAAACCCTCAGGCAAACTGTCATTGTTCAGAAACTGTATGTTATATTAACATTTTATTTGTCTGCATAGTTTGAATATAAGAGATTTCCATCCATCCATCCATCCATCCATCCATCCATCCATCCATCCATCC